TGAATTACGTCCTAAACTGGTTCAAATTTGCCCACCAGGTGCCGTATCGGAATCGTCACCTTGCCAATAGTATATGTACTTCGTTGTACATACTAACTGGCCATCGACCTCCATCGATATCCATCAGCCCTATAATTCTATGTTTCGAGAAAAAATAATTTTCTAATTGGTTTATCGTACCCTAATTCCAGCTCTCATTCAAAAATGTATTCATTTATTTATTTATTGACAGGCGAACCCAGTGTAAAAGAAAAAAACATAAATATATAGCCTATACAACAGATTCCTAGACATAAGGGGGCCAGGTAGCCGTGCGGACAGAGTGTCTATATTCTAATTAGCAGAAATTTTTCTGATGGCCCAAGAAAGTGTTTGGGATCACACGTTAAAAGGTAAGGCCCCTGTCAATCCTGCTCGCACAAGACTTTCAAAGACTTCTGAGGGTTGCTCGTAAGGGGGCAACCGAATGACGGATATAGAACAATTTTAGAACAATTTAGAACAATATCACAGGACATTAATGAAGATACATTTATACATATATACACATTAAATACAATGTACATTAAATATAAAGACATTATATTAGGGCAAGAATGCGTTTGGCTCTTTCAGTGCCAGTGTTAAAAATGTCCCAGTTCACTCTGTTACTCAGCGTCATCATCCTGTTTATCGGGTTATTGTTTGCATGTTTGCATATACCGGGTGGCACAGGGTATCGGGCCATCCCTGTAACTTCTGCATTCGTCAACGAATTTTTCTGAAATTCGGTGCAGTTATATAAGCAATTATTTCGGATTTGATCACATCACAATCCAATATGGCGGACTTCCGGTATTTCTGGAAATGCCAGCAACTTTGTTTTTTCGAATGAAACACCCTGTATATTTTTACATATTCAAGTTCAACAGGTCGAAACAAGTACAATCTCTATATCAAATGTAATTTTTTCGAAAAAATTTAAATTAAAATTGTTTTTTCATTTTACCTCGTGGATAAATGAGATGTGGTCAAGAATATTCACAATGAGTCACACATAACAGAAGAACATATTTTTTTCTGAAAAATTTTTATTTGTGTCACTTATCCAGGAATCAATTCAGCCACATCACTTTTTGATCAAAAATAATTTTTTTTTCAAATGGAACCCCTATGGGCCACCTACCCGTCTCTCTAGAACATACATTAAGGAACAAAATGACATATCATTATTGTTTTTCGGTGCAGTAACAAATTGTATACATTCAAAAATCAACAACTAGTTTATGAAGTTCCTTGCAGTTAGAATAATTTTTCAACTAGGTAGGCTGTGGAATAAATGACATTTGACATCAAGATTGCACTTGTTTTGACCTGTTGAACTTGAATATGTAAAAATATACAGGGTGTTCATTTGAAAAAACAAAATTGCTGGCATTTCCAGAAAAACCGGAAGTCCGCCATATTGGATTTTAATGTGATCAAATCCGAAATAGTTGCTTATATAACTGTACCGAATTTCAGAAAAATCCGTTGACGAATGCATAAGTTACAGGGGTGGCCCAATAACCTGTGTCACCCGGTATAGTTCTATGAGTTTCTAAATTGAATGTGCTGCTATAACGTAATCGTTTTTGAGGAACATGAAATTTGAGGGAGGGCAATAATTCAGGACTATCAATCTGATCATTACATATTTTTTGAATAGTGATGATATCAGTGTTGCTTCTACGCTCTTCTAGGCTTTTCATGTTCAGGCAATTCAAAATATTGTCATAATTAAATTCCTCCATAGGAATACCGAGCTTGAAGCCAATATAACGCAAAAAACGTTTCTGAACTCTTTCTATTTTCATGATATGAGTTTGGAAGGCAGGACACCACACAGAGCTGCTGTTTGGGACTTAAATATTGTTTTATTTCTATTCCAGCCTTTCAAGTAAACCAGAGGTTGTAAATCTCTGTCTTTTTATGCTGAAGCAATTGTACAAAAAATGTTCCCTTTTTATATTTTATCAACAACTGAACTGTCTTTTTATTTACATTCCACCATAACAACATCAACCATATAGTGAGTGTACAAATCAAAATATTATTAAAACAATCTTCATCAACATTCTCCCCCCAGTAATGAACCCTTCATTACTTAATCTTCTGTGGTCTTCTCCACTTCTAGACGACAAATTTTCACAACCGGTCGTCGATAGGTGCTTAGTTTAGTTTTCACATCCACGCTTCTTACTTGGCCATCTGTTCCGGGATAAATTGTTCCCTTTTTATATTTTATTAACAACTGAACTGTCTTTTTATTTACATTCCACCATAACAACATCAACCATATAGTGAGTGTACAAATCAAAATATTATTAAAACAATCTTCATCAACAGCTGCTATTTTCAAGTTGAGAGCGTACAAATGAAAAGTAAAGGGATTTCAACGCAACAATATTATGAAAGTCCTCTGTTGATCGTTTGATAAACCCTAGCATCTTCAGAGCTTTGTTACAGATAAATGCAATATGAGGAATAAAGCTAAGTTTAGAGTCAAAAAGTATACCTAGATCTTTAATAATGTCTACATTTGCAATGACCACATCATTTAATTAGTACTCATTATTGTTAATCATGCTGTGATTTTTGCTGAAACGAATGTATTTACATTTCGAAATACAGGTATTGGCATAAGTCAGGCAACGCTCTCGAAATTTCAACATATGTCGGGCACGCTTCAAGATAGAATTTTTATTGTAACCTCGTATCTGCGTACGAACGCGGATTACGACACTATGTTTACCGAATTTCAACAACAATTTCCGAACTCGTTTTGTATTTTTTTTTTAATAAATATATTTTGACGCAGCATTTATTTATCTTAATGAAAATTGGTTGCCTGATGCAAATTGGTTGCCTGATGCAAATTGGTTGCCTGACTTATGCCGACCCCTGTATTCAGAACTAGTTTTTTTGTGGCACCACACACAGAACATGTCCAAGTCCTCTTGAAGATGAGTTGAGAAGGGATATATTTTCATATCGTCAGCATATAATAATATTGAACTGGATTTGAAGCAAGAAGAAACGTCATTAACAAATAAATTGAACAGTAAAGGTGCTAAATGAGCTCCTTGAGGAAATGAAATAAAAGACAAAGAAAGATATATGGATGTACTCTTTCCTGAACTTGTAGAAGCCTTTATCTAGAGTGACTTTATAAAACATAGTGGCGACAATAGTGATGCACTTTTTGATTGGCCAGACCTCTAATATGGAGGTGCATCCACCCGTCTTGTTTTCTCCATTCAGTTCTACGCATTCTATTTCACTTTGTCGACGCCTTCTCACTCTTTTTCGCCCTTTGAACACAAAACATCCAACAATCAGACATGAAACTCTATACGTCCGTACATTGGAAATTAACTATTAGAATCGCCGTCTTTTTGGACTTTGGATGATGAAATGAAAATAACAAATATCTGAATCTAACATTAGGTGGGCACTTCGAAGACGCAAATTCATTACTGCGTGTTAGATACCCTTCCAATTTTCAGCTATTCAGTGACTTGCCCACGATTGACATTTAGGAAACGTCGGCCATGTTGTGGCCACTCTATTTAATCTACTTACTCTAGCTTTATCTAAGCGAAAAACATATTCTTGCCCATTTCTGACAAAACATATGATTTACTTCAAAATCGTTTTTGGTTATGTCTCACTGTCACTTCTTGTCTAGTGTCCGCATTCTTAATACAAAAAATGCCAAAACATTAGTGTCAAGCCCATTAAGGAACTCTATCGTATCTGGACGTTGGGTGATCTGTGGATGTGTGAGAAATGGGACTGATTGCCCAGCTGGCGTTATTTCATATGATGACACAAGCGCCATGTTTGAACGTTCCAATTCCAATCAAATTTCGAGTTATAGAATGGTGTTTTTCGAAGTATTACAGCATATTTTATGAAAAAAATTGATGCATTCATTCTATGTTACTATTGTATTTCGCTGCTAAATCTCATAATTAAGAGATCCAGGATGAACAGAGTTGCCCCAATTGTCAGCAGGAGCGAGACAGTACTGTTTCGACCCACCAGGTCTCACCAGCCGCTCTCGGTCTGCTGACAACTGGGACAAGTATGTCAGGTAGTGCCATCTGTCAGCAGAGTGGTTTACTTGTAGTACCACTCTGTAGCGTATAGACATAGGGGTCTGTACGTGTGACTATAGATGGCAGCGCCATACAGTGTGTGTCGCGATCTCTGTATCCTACCTTAGAGCTTTGCCACTCGATGGCTACAACATGACTTCAACTTCATGTTATACCCTGCGTATTGTATTTCGGTTATATGCACATATAAAATTGAATTCACCCATTCGTGTTCTTGCCTATTTAAATAAATATTTCTTATGGTTAGTTACTTTTTATAGTACTAAATTTGACTTATCCGGATTACATTTTATCAAAGAAGAAGTCGGAATTTAATGAATAATGTAATGTTTCCATACACAAAAAAGATATAATTAAAAAAAAAAAGTGTTTAAAAGTGTTTTTAACCGCCAGCTTAGTTGCAAAGCAACCCTCGAAAGTCAGAGACTTGTGTGAGTTAAGAAGACGGGGACCTTAGCTTTTTAAGTGTCATCCGAAGCACTACTCGGCTGGTAACCGTGGACAGTCCAAAGGATTGATATCTAGGTACCAAGAATGTTGGGTTGGCCACCTATCTCCTCCCGCCCAACGAAACTACCGAAAATTAATTCAGTGCTCGCGCCGGGGATCGAACCCGGACCGCCTGGGCAACAGCCAGCGACTCTACGCTCACGGCCACCAGCCCAGTTATGGGCTTATCAGTTATCAGTTATCAATCTATCTATCATCTAAGTTCAGAAAAACGAATTGGATTGATTGAATTGATTGAATTCAAACTTCTTATCAAATGACTAATAACTGAAATAAAAAAGAAGGGACAGGAGGACCATTCAAAGTGGAAAAAATGTTCCTTATATAAGAGGATAACCAATCACTAACCTGATGGCAATAAATGTGTCAGTATCCCTTTCAGCAGCAGTTAAGGCCCAGTATGTGGTATTTTCCGGAGAAATCACTCGTCTTGGTCCAAAAAAAATTCCATGCCATTCTTCTAACAATTTTCTCTCCTTAGCCAGACGAGCTATCTTTGAGTCTTCAGAAGCAGTCTTCTCTAACATTAATTTCAAACCTTGCTCTTCAGTGGTGTATGTCTGCAGAGCCGATTCCCACATGAGCTTCAATTTTTCTAGAATACAATGAAACATCACAATGAACCTAAGAATTTTTATCTATCAATGAATCAACTTTATAGTGAAGTCATCCATATTAATACTCAAGCACGTAATGACTCATGATCAGCTTGAAAATATTCTTCCAGTGAGTAGAAGCAAGCAAGATACCTCGATCTTCATCGCATGTCTGGTGTCATGGTAATGACTATCACTATGCGTTCTGAGTATGTTGAATTGTTTGTGAACCTCTTGAAGTGTGTTATAGATAAACAAAGTTGGTAATCCCATGATACCATATGCGATGATTAGGGAGTTTACAGTGTTCTCTGTAAGATGCATTGGCCATTTTTTTTAATTGCTTTTTTCTGCTGAAATATGATGGGAGAATGAGAAGAGTTCCCCAATAATAAAACGCCATAATTTATTTGACAGTGAAATGAAGAAAATTAAACAGTTTTAAAGTTGCAGAACTTATCATACTCCTGAGCTGTCTGAGGAGAAATATTGTACTTTTGCAGTTTTCTCTGTAAATCATCAATATGATGGTGTCAATTTAGTTTCTCATCAAGCGTAATTCCTCGTATATTTACGCTATTACCTTTATAGCAACAGGGATGCGTTGACATTACATTTTTTTGAGTTTTATTGGTATAGTAGAAGATCCGAACCTACATCGACCTTCACCGAGCTGATAATAGAACGAAATATATTTTATCATGAATTTAGTATATTAGAAAACATATTAAAAATGGGTTGGCTAAAAAAATCCTGGGCTGACTATTTTCAATTAATTTTCGAAAAAAATTTTTTAATTAAATGTTGCAACATCAGGATAATAAAAAAATTGTGTCCTGACTGAAAGTATAAAACGTATAGAATGTGCAGCCGTTGGGTTGTCTACTATTTACCTGGGCGAACTACTGGGTTGTCAGGTAAACACAGGTATATCGATGCCAGTTACTTTCACTGGATTGGATAATTTAAAAAAAATTATATCATCATAAGCGCTGTTTAATTGCGAACACGTTGATATAGGGTTGTCTGCGAAAATTCCGGTCCTATTAGGGGTTTGCGAATTTTAAAGATTTTAATTTCAACGCGCGTGGAAGTGTGTGACAGAGAGATCCGAGGTAAGTATACTGTGTAATAATGAAGGACCCAACATCGCAGTCGCTTGTGATGGGACCCTGAATAGTAGAAAGTGCGCATGCTCGGTGTGTAAACTATGGAGGGTAGAGGTACCTCTACTACCCTTCATATAGTAAACAGTGCGTGTTATTTTGGAGCAACTGATATTTCAGTAGCAAAAAAAAATAATTAATTAATTACATAATAATTAAATATATTTATTATAATATAATAATATATAAAAACAATATAATATCAATATATTGCGTTATAACCATAATGATATATCTATAATCTATAATAGAAAAGAGAATATAAAAATATCAAATACTTACTTTGAAATTTTTTTGCTCTTTCTGGAAATAGAAACAAAGTGGACCGCCAAAAATTTAAATTAAGAAATAACAAAAAAGATAGACTAGACATCTTGTATTACGATTTAAAATTTTATTAAAAAACAGTATAAATACAAAAATTATATTAATGAAAAATAAATTCTAATAAATATTTTCTATTCAATATCTGATTCATCAGAAGTATCATTTTGACTCTCGAATTCGTCTGATTCATTAGATTCTTCCTCATTTGCTTCCATTTCGACAATGTCTTGGATTTTCAAAGGAGTTTGATCTCCGATAAAACCTGTTGGTTTTAAGAAATCATCAAAATGCCAAGCATAGTTTTCAGGATTTGACTTCGCACACTTCGCACACTTTCTACTATTCAGGGTCCCATCACAAGCGACTGCGATGTTGGGTCCTTCATTATTACACAGTATACTTACCTCGGATCTCTCTGTCACACACTTCCACGCGCGTTGAAATTAAAATCTTTAAAATTCGCAAACCCCTAATAGGACCGGAATTTTCGCAGACAACCAGATATCAACGTGTTCGCAATTAAACAGCGCTTATGATGATATACATTTTTTTAAATTATCCAATCCAGTGAAAGTAACTGGCATCGATATACCTGTGTTTACCTGACAACCCAGTAGTTCGCCCAGGTAAATAGTAGACAACCCAACGGCTGCACATTCTATACGTTTTATACTTTCAGTCAGGACACAATTTTTTTATTATCCTGATGTTGCAACATTTAATTAAAAATAATTTTTCGAAAAATAATTAAAAATAGTCTGCCCAGGATTTTTTTAGCCAACCCATTTTTAATATGTTTTCTAATATACTAAATTCATGATAAAATATATTTCGTTCTATTATCAGCTCGGTGAAGGTCGATTTAGGTTCGGATCTTAGACTAGTAGTATCGTCAGCAAACAAGACAGACTTCGTGGGTTGCATGAACTCAAATATATCATTTATATAAATGAACAGTTGTGGCCCGAGGACCGAGCCTTGGGGCACAGTATGTACAACAACATGAAGGTAATCTGATCAAGTGTTGTTGAAACTAACCTTCTGGAAACGTGTTTCTAAATATGATTTAATAAGTGATAAAACTACTCCTCTCAAACCTTTGGACGATAATTTTCACAGAAGAATACTATGAGAGACACAATCGAAAGCCTTGGTTAGGTCACACAAGATAGCACTATGATGTCCCATTTCAAGACCCTCGACTATCTCTCTCACAAAATTAATCACAATCCAAGTCGACTATTATTCAGAAAGAATTTCAACAATTTTAAAAAATATGCAGGTAATTGAAATCGGACGAAAATTATCCACTTCCGAAAATCGCTCATGCTATCAATACAGCCAAACACGAGGTGACAGGATTTTCACCCTGTTTTTTAAATTTTGCTAGGCACGTTCCATTATCGGGAGATTATTATGGGATAGTTCAATCAACAGAAGATACTGAAATTTTGCCAGGTGATAGAGACGCATCTTCCCAATTAAATTCATTGACTGAAATTTTCAGTGAGTCCGAAGTAAACTGCACAAGTCGTATGAGAAGAATGCGACACATAACAATCTCCAGAAGAGAGATATATCTTTTGAAGGAGGAGAGAAAGTGTGGCGCCGTAACAAAGTGCTCTCCGACGCCTCTTCGAAATTCACAGCTAAGTTAGCGCCAAAATATGTGCTTTGCACAATCGAAAAAAAGTTTCGAAAAATGCTGACGTTATTTGACGTGATTTGAAGTTATATGTTGGTTCTAATTCCGACATATCTGTAGGTTGAACTAATAACCTCCGTGTCTTTGTGTACATATCAACTGATATGTAAATTAGGTAATTATATTACCGACATTATTGAACCCATTTTTCATTTTGTTGGTGTAATTCTAGAAGTACGAGTATCCTTTTTTTAGTCTGTGGTGAGATATACCGATTTTGAACCTACCCGTTTGTGACATTTTCCCTGATTGCCGACTCTACTCATTTTTGTCCCCAATTTTTTCATTGGCGTGTGGTACGCGAAGTTACTAAAACGCAGGACTGTATATATGTGGGATTAATTACTTCTAGAATAGTTTGAATTCCATTTATGATATAGGGCCATTGTTTGTGTATTAGGTGTAGTGAGGTTCTATTAAAATGAGCCAGTACTTAATTCTACTCATAGGTTGTTAAAAAAAATAGCCAACTTCTTTGTCTATTTGTTTTACTATTGAAATGGGGTGGTGTAACATTTCAAAACTTCACTCAAAATAAGCTAGTACTTAATCGTAGTAGTTTTAGGTAGTGAATAGAAAAACAAATAGCCAACTTCTTTGTCTATTTTTTTTACTATAGAAAAGGGGTGATGTAACATTTCAAAATTGCAATCTCTGGTATACGAGTTTTGTGAGCGCGGAATGATCGAATGATCAAATTTACAACACCCTGTACATGAATCGCGACGCGCACCGATTTCAGGGCTTCAAAATAAAAATTCGGAAAAACACTGATTCGAGGGGAATCGACTAGTCTGCATTCTTCATCTCTGTAACTTCAACCCCCTACCAGAGAGAAGCATAACCCCCGGATTTTTAATAGGGATGAAGGGTGTTGCGATACCTCACTTTGAAGATTTCATCCAGTACTATCCGACCCTCCAATTTCGTGTCAAAATTATCATCGATAACGAAATGAGATAGAATAGAAGAAGAGGCAATGTCTAATTTACATTGAAAATATTATTCTTATTAGTGGAAAAATATACAACCCAAATATTATCAATTATCTTATTGAAAATTAAATACAGGAACGAACTCAATTTAGCATTTCCCAAGATGGCTTCTTCAATCATATCTCAAATAAAATACATTCAAAACGAAATTGAAAATGTCAAAATTTCTTTAAAATCCAACAATAATTTGAGTAGACACTTTGTAAACAGCAAAGATAAGATTGATAAACTTAAAAAAAGTGGTATCTACAAATTGAATTGTGAAGATTGTGAAGCTGTCTATATTGGTAGAATTGGTAGAATTTGTAGACCTCTGAAGGCTCGCATAGGTGAACATTTAAATAGTAAGAAAAAATCTGCATTTGGACAACACTTAAGATTCAATAACCACAATTTCAGCCTCGATAGGAATTCAAAAATTTTACATGAAACCAGTTCCAAAAATTTCAATAGACTATTATTTTCTTGAAGACTTACACATTGACAAAGAATTACAAAACAACTTTGACTATTGTTTGAATACCCAGATTGATTTGAACAGATCTTATATTCAACTTCATAGAAGGATAAAATAGCATAATCAAATTAATGTCATCAAAATATTTTTGTCACAGAATTATCAAGACTCCTTTTTCTCTATGATGATTTAATTAGATATCCAAAACAGCGATTTGAACAGTATCTTTCCAAGCAATTTTTCCAATAGCACTGAGAGAAATGATGGTTTCTTTTCCTTTTCCATTTCAGAGTTGGTACCTCAGGTTTCCGGTTTCGAGGGCTAGGGAAGTTCTCATTAGACTTTCACTTCCTTCGCGGTTGAAGACTTGAGCATTCAAAGATTTCTGAGAATAATTTTTGTCACAACCGAATTCTCAAATCTTTTTTGTGTCAAATAGTTGGTCAGACAGTTACATTTCTTGATTACATCTGGATTGACTTGAGTGAGCTCTCATTAGGCTAAACTGGGTTAGTTTAGTTCATTGTACCAGTGTATCACCTGAGGAAGCTACTGTGTTAGCGAAACATGTCGTGTGTTTAATAAATTTTGTGGAAATCTTATCGTTTGTGAAGTTTTTACATTTTAAACTGGGTTTCCCTGGTGTATTCACTTGTTGTCATCAATTATGCAGAAGTGAGTTGCTAGTCATGTTCTCAGTAGACCAGTACAATAATTGCTCCTTGGGAATCTGGTAGTCTTATCCCAATTTCCATATTGTTTATGTGTTTATGTTTTGCGTGGTCCACTGAGAATTTCAAGAGCGAACTTTTGTCGAGAAATTATTTCCACTGGCTTCCAAACTTGCTCGATGCTCGCTCAAAGCTCGAGTTTTCAGAACCGTGCTTGTGCAACTGTGCGATACACATAACCTTAAATATTCGAGTGGGGAAATATTCGAAATTCGAGTTTATTTCAATAATTTCAAAATTACATAAAAGTTATAGAGCTATTCCAAAGATCGCACCAACTTTCGATATATATGCCACTGTTCTGTGCTGGAACCGCACTACATGGAAAAACCGAGCAAGTGCCACTCGTACTCGCTCTGTGCTATTGCGCTCTGTAAATCGGTGAATGGAAAACGCTATAACATTAGTAATATTCTTTCAAAAAAAATTCCAATACCTACCTCCTGTCCCAATCCTCCCTAGGAACGCACGATGTTCTTTGAACATTATAGGGATTCCCTTTTGTGCGCTCCAATCGATAAAAAAAAAACTGAAATATTTCACTAGAACTGAACTGAATCGTTCTTTCGAATGACGTTCATTATGTGAAATGTGTCAGTTAGTTCAGAAAAGAGTCACTGGATGGTATTAGTTTGATAAGAGTTCGGACACAGCTGAACTTTTGTTCTCTTCTATTTTCTATAATACAATGGTTTGAGTGAATGAAAGAATAAGACATATATTCTGCTCTTTGTCTTTTTAATTTCCCTAGTAGCGCCTGTCTGTCAAATCAATCATAGCCGTAGATGGATAATGGAAATGGGGTACAAACACCGACTTCAATTTATAGTGATACACTTCTAGCAGAAAAACATTTATACAAATGAAAAGAATGCATGTAAGAACATTTTGATATTAGAAAATATACACATATGGATATACTTTTAGCTAATTCCTTATTGTATGTGAAACTGTACTCCAGTGATAAGTATAAAACATGAAGATATTGAAATATGAAATTAGAGGTCGGTATTCTCAATATACAGGAAGTAACATAAGTACGTTCAAGTGAAGTATTCCTAACACAATTTCAAGAAATAAAGTCCATGTAAAATTGTGTCCGGAAATGCTTCATTTCGGAAATACAGGGTGTTGAGAATACAGAGAACAAATCATTTTTTGATAAACATTTCATAGGAAAAAATTAGTTTAATTTGACGAGACCTACCACATACTTGGTTTTGTAAAGTTCTCAACAACTTCACTTAGCGCCCTAGGAGCTAAGTAACATGGATCAATATAGAAAATTTAAATATCTCCAAAACGATAACCTCCAGCGTAATTAGGACCCTTGTAATAATTCCCTTGATACATAAATAACTATTCTCATTGGTTTCATGTTCACATAAATACCCACGTATAGGTACAATAGATATGTGAGAACATAATATACCTATTCAAACTGTGAAAACTGAAAACATGAGTTTTGCATTTGTAATAAGAAATTCACTAATTTCTTAATCCCATACTTCGACTTGCTTTTGAATTCCTTAATATTCTTCTGCTTTGCTGTAAATTGATAGAACAGCAGATTCTCACAAACAGATTTTGTAATCTTCTGTTTGAAAAATGGGCCGGAAATATAGTTTCATTCTAATCAGGTGCTGTTATAAGAAGTGCATTTTAATGAGTACCTCACAAATTTTGCTCGTCTTCAAATTGATTTTCCACCTAGGCCATTACATATCTTCCTTCCATAAGGGAATGGTTGATATTTGTTTTGGAAAATTGAATAAATGATATCCATTTTCTTCAAAATTGGCACAATTCATCACACAACAAATAATTTCCAAAACTGCTTTTGTCTCGAAAGTATAATTATGAAATTATATTTCAATTCTGACGTCTATAAAATTTCTTGTCAAATTCAAACAATTTTGAATGAAACAGCGCGGGACGACTATGGTGCTCTTGTTACAATGCAAGGTGTGTAACTTAATAAATCTAAACATTCAAAAACCCTAACCGTTGTCATTTCTGTGTCCGAACTCTTATCAAACTAATACCATCCAGTGACTCTAGTTCAGAATGAAAGAATATCACTATTAATAAAATCATTTGACAATTTCTCTGACATATGCCATGTCTTATATGTCATGTCAAATGTCAACATCAAATTTGCTTTCATTATTCCAGTATTTTCTTTCACTTGTAAAGTTCACCTAGTATGCCGCAGCAAGGCTGTCCTTCCTGGCCGCAGCCATAATGGCTGTTTGAGAAAATGTAATCTGCATATTATTATCCCATTTTGGGAAACAAATTTCAATCTGTTTGTACCGTAAATAGCCATGATGTTAATATTACTCAACTGGACCAAATATATTTTTATGGATGATTTTCTTGTCAACCTGACGAGTAAGTAACCTCACTTTTACATATCTCTAAATTCACATTCAACATTATTCAATGTTATGATGATATCTTTTTCAATAGCTAAAAGTTGATTGACTCTCACTAATTTTCTAATTTAAATTTCTTCAAAAACATTTTTTTTTCAATTTTCCATGAGGTCTTTTCTAATAGCTAAAAGCTGATTACTTACTTACACTAACTTTTTGTACTATTTTGGTATATCTACATGTGCACACAGCTAAGTCACCCTCATTTCAATCTTATTAGTTGTTGAAATAGGCATTGTTTAATCTCTATAAGTTCATAACAAATAATCTAACATACCTGTGGTGATGTTGAAAGCATTTTTGTCTTCTAATGAACAATTATCACCTCTCTGAGTGGCAATGTGATCTCTAACAAGCCTCAATTTAATTAGAGATGAAACAAGAGTCAACTGTTTTCTTGCTTCAGACTTCCTCTTAGTCACCTCTGCTAAAACACAGTCAGCATCTTTTTTCATATCTTCTTCCTAAAAATATTGAAAATTTAAAGTAAGGAAACAATAATTTATTTTATGTTTCTTATTTCAACTCTTTCACTGATCTTTCTATGATCTAAAAACATACCATCTTGATGTTTTCAACTTCTTCTTTTTTACTGATCAACCATTGGTCAGCAATTTTATGCTGCTTATCTCTGTTATGAAATTTGAATTCCTGCTGCTGCTTCTTGAACTCTTTTTTCTTTTTTAGAGTCAATCGCTTTTTCTTCCTTTTTTCAATAGACTTTTTCAAGGTGAAAATTGATTCTCCACTCTCAAACTTTGAAATTAACTTAGTGAATTGGTCTTTTATCACACCAATTTCTATAGTTTTTTGTTTCCAATCATTTGATGACATTCTGTCAACTTTATCTTCTAGTTCTCGTTGAGTTTTTGTCAATTTATCCAAAAGAATGAGACATTCCTTCAAAGAAGTCTGAGCATCATTAATTGGAATAACATTTGCACCTAATAATGGAAATTATCGTATTACAAATAATACAAAATAAGTATCTACCTCTCAGGTTTAACTTGCCTAACTTTCAATTAATGTAATTTGTAATTTTTGATTTTCTAATATTTGAGGAAATGAAATTGTTTCAGTGATATGTCGTCATTACGTCGATTGATTATTAGTTCAATTTCTTGCCACTAATACATGAGTGATCAATAGTATGGTTGAAATATGTGAAGATACACTGGCGTATTCATCCACGAATTATAAATGCTGAAGATGACTATTCAATAGGATATCAGAACAAATTGTGGTAATTTTTGTTATGCGGGAAAACTCAAAACATTGCAATGCATAAAAGCTCAAATTCATTACTGAAAGAGCATGCGGGAAAATAAAAAGTACACCATTCGATTCAGCTTCTTGTGCACTTTTCGAATACGTGAGCGAATTTTGGGAATTCGAAAATACACGGTGTTCTTTTTGGAGTCCAGAAATATGATCAATTTTCGTTAATCCGGACCTGGAATTTTCTAGTGACTGATAGGTGCTTCGATCATTCAACATACTCGGAGGATAGGTGAGTCTATTTGGTAGAAGTTACATTCTGAGGAGGGTTTGATACCCGAAATGAGTTCAAATCAAATCAAAATATACTTTAATGTCTGAAGAATAAAATTCTCATTGACAAAGTCGAACATGCTTATATATATACATGCAAAGAAAAAAAGTACAGTATAAAAATGAAACCCTACATTGTATAAATAGAACTAACACAATATAGTGAACAATATAAAACACATTAAAATTACAGAAACTGTTGAAACCAAAGAATATAGTTAAAAGTTTTAAATCGAAAAACAACAGGATATCAGCAATGTGAATTATTTTAGGATTTTTTCTGAAAAGAATTCGTCTAAGGAGTAGCAAGCTTTTTCAATTAGAAGACTTTTGACCAATTTTTTAAACATTTTTGGGTTATTGATACATTTTACCTCATCAGGCAAATGGTTATACAATTTTCTGCCATTGTAAATGAAAGAGTTTATTATTAATGTAGAGCTAGGTATTGGTATATTTAAATTATGTGCCCGTCTTGTATTATAGTGTGTAGTAATATGATTTTCGTTTTTATATTTTCGGTGTATGAGACATACCGTTTCCAGAATGAAAATACATGGAAGAGGTAATATTTTGTGCTCTATGAATAATGGCTTGCAAGTATCCCTGAATCCAGCTCTACACATGTATCTCACGGCTCTTTTTTGTAGGATAAAAATCACATCAAACAAAGTTTTACTACATGAACCCCAGAAACAAATTCCATATCTCAAATGTGAATCAATGAGAGCAAAGTATACACTTTTGGCCATTTCTCTACCAAGTTCCCATGATGTTGTTCTGACTGCATAACAGTCAGATGACAACTTTTTCCTTAATTTGTCAATATGTTCACTAAACTTCAATTTATTATCAATGTGTAAACCCAGAAACTTCGTATCTGTTCTATTACTAATTACTTGATTACCTAACTGAAGTTCTCCCTGCAGGGTGCAATTGAAAGTTAGGACACTTGTTTTAGAGATGTTAAAGGACAACATATTAGAATCGCACCACTTTTTCACCTTAGCAATATCGTTACTAATTGTTTGTTGTAAGTCATAACTATTTCTATTGTGCCAAAATAGTGTGGTGTCATCTGCAAATTGGGTAAATTTTCCTATAATATCGATCGACGCTAGGTCATTGATGTATAACAAAAAGAGGATAGGTCCAAGCACAGATCCTTGAGGCACTCCCCAACTAACCTCCAATCTACATGATATATTACCTTGAAGGGACACACTTTGGGTTCTTTCGAATAAGTAAGAACTGAACCATTGCAAAACTAAATCCCTGAAACCATCTTTCTAATTTTTGAAGCAGAAATTTGTGGTTGACACAGTCGAAAGCCTTAGTCTGGAAACCAAACTGGGCAGAATTGATGCTGTTATGCTTATTTAAAAAAATCATCATTCTCTTTTTTACAAGTTTTTCAACTATTTTCGACAGTGTGGGTAGCATTGAGATAGGTCTAAAGTTTGCGGGATAATTTGTATCACCACCTTTGTATAAAGGAATGACGATTGCGTTTTTGAGGCACCGAGGAAAAACTCCTGTAGTGAACGAAATATTAATGGCATCCACTAATGCCTCAAGAGCGGTGTCCGGTTGGTTCAGAAATATTTTTATTGACAAATCATCCCATCCAGACGCGTTTTTATTTTTGTGATCAAAAGTTTGTTTCAATTCAAGAATGTCTGTGGGAGCAAAATAAAATGATTCAGAAATAGAAATATTATTCATGTAAGATAATGGATCTGTAGTGGGGTGAATATCTTTTGAAAGGATGTCTGCCACTGAACAATAATAGCCATTAATATCACTTCCAAGATCCGTCTTTATAGTAATTGACTGATTTTTTCTTCCCCCTCGTAGTTCCTTAATAATGGCCCAGCTCCCTTTCTGCCTATCTCCAGATTTCTCTATTTTTTGTCTATAATGTATCTGTTTAGCAATTTTGAGAGTTCTCCTGTAAATTGATCGATATTTGTTATAATATGAGTTGAAGGCTTCATTACCGATGGCAAATTTTCTTACCGAGTGTAAGAATCGCAGATTTTGTGCTGATACTCTAATACCTCTAGTTATCCACGGTTTTCTAGGTTTACTCTTGATATTTCTGATTGGGAATGCCCTGTTTAATACATACGACAACATCGAAGTTCATTCGAATAAAGTCATATAACCCGTTTGTGAAAGATAATATTCTCTTTTCCTACGACTACTACTGTAAGTGATGAATATTGTACAAAAAACAATGGCAGTAAGCTTCTCCTTACACACGTGTGCGTAAAGAGAGCGATCGCACGGTTTCCATAGGTATGTTGATAGATGACTTTGTTTTTTTGCTTAGGCGATGTGTCAATAACAATTAACTATTTCATTAATGTCAATATTTCTACACCACGTGAAATGTTGGAAAAAGCTAGAATGGCTGAAAATGAGTTGCTACCCGCTAAGTCTATACCTGGACTAGAGAATTAGAAAAATAATACCGTGCCGTTTTCGGAACATAACTTTTTAGTATATTATTCTCAAGATATATCAAATTCGATGAAATCATCATCACTCTGGTCGATATATTCCATGTTACGATCAACACTAAATATCAATCACAATATTAATATAGCAACATATCCCATTTCCTCGAAAGGAAATCGGATGGATTCCGAAGTAAAAAATCGAAAATACTTAATGCTGAACAGATCAATTATTTTCTGCAGATTGCTCCTGTTGATATCTATTCATGAAGGTAATTTTTCAAATAACATATATACTCAACATTGAATTGATGAATTCCTTTTACTTCAAATAACAGGAATAATTTCAGAAAAGATCAATTGTCGAAATCATATTTATAAAATATCTACTAATCCCAAGCAATGGTGATGGCTCAGTTGTTGGAAGCGCTGGCTCCGAGTCCAAAGGTCGGTGGATCGGAGCACAGTTGGAGAACTTTTTTTTATTATTTTCAATAACGATTACAGAATCTCTCGTTCTGCACTGTTACAATAAATAACCATTATGAATGTTAATCTCATATTTTCATATAATGTGTTTTTGGCTATTAATAAAGTTGTTTAGATATTAAAAACGGCTCCATTTCAGTTCGAATTGAGGAAAATGTCTCGGTATGCAATGTATCAATAAACAAATCCAAGAATTTTGATTTGTAACTCTTCATGCAGCTGGGTTAGTCACGGGAGACGTGTATATATAGGTATTCGTTATTTGTGCCTTAATGCAATATCTGCACTATCCGGGAGAAAATATAGTGTAGTCGTAGAAAAAGTATAGTACAATTCTCGAGTTGTAAAGCAATTACGCACTTGTGGAGTTACACACTCGCCGCTATGCGGCATCGTGTGTAACTCTCTCCACTTCGTGCGTAATATGCGTTTTACAACTCTTGTTATGTAATATACTATTATGTTCCCCTTTTGGATGTACAACAGATATAATGCAATATTCGACGTGGCAAGCAAATAGCCAGGAAAGTAGTTGTTTTCTCTTGAATAATCAGATTGATAATACGTGCATAATATATTTTTATTTGGAGCAGAATGCAGATTCTCAACTTCAGGAGATTTTATTTTCAAATTATTATCCTGTGTGTTCAAGATATAATTCAATGTTCTTCGTAGCATATAGCAAGGAAAGTAGTTGTTTTCTGTTGAATATACCGAAAATGAATTGATATATATATATCACATAGAGAATGCGAATTCTCAATGTATTTCTTTATATACAGGGTGATTCACGATTAAGAGATTGGAGTAGGTGTTCATTTGTGGATGAGAGCAGGTGTCATATGTTTAGATCGAATGGAAGAAATTTAGTATGGAGAAAATAAGGTGAGAGGTTTTTGAAAGAAAATATGGATAGCTATCGCGGGTGCGGGTGTTACGCTATGGGGCGGTATCATGATGAATCATCGCACCACGTTGGTTATTTTGATAAAGGATATGAATGTCGTTCGGTACAAAGACATGTGTGTTAGGGAAGTTGTTTTTCCAATTGCTCAAAACTTTGGTGACATTTTCGTACTGGATGATGATAATGCACGTCCACATCGTGCGATTGTCACTGATGGAATGGTCACCAGTCTTCAAACATGAATCCGATAGAGCAGCACGTATGGGCTAGGTTGAAGTTGAAATTAAAGAGAAGCTAAGATGAAATGATGAACTTGACTAATTAGAAGAGGCGATACTGGAAGAGTGGAATGCTTCCCCAAGATTTCATCAATGGTTTGATAACTTTTATGCCAAGAAGAATTAGGGCTGTTATTGCTGCTACTTTGAGGTACAACAAAATATCGACAATTGGTACAGTGATAGCGTTGAGGATACGCCAATCTAAAATTCTGTTGAGTTTATGGTTATATGGTGATTGAACATATAATCAGAAT